GTCGTGTCCCCCCTCCCTGAAACCTACCTTTTTGGTACCCGCCCTCGAGTCCAAGCCCAGAAGACTTTTTTCGATATCCGCCCCAACTCCACCCACGTCCGTCCGCAGCGGATATGCCTCGTTCCCTTGCTCTCTTCTCCTGTTCCAACCCACGCCTACCTTTCGATCTTTCACCCTTCCCTCTCAAGTGACCTTGTGTGCTTTGATCAAGAATCAATGATAGGCGAGTCTGCATTAGATCACTCGTCGTTCAGGGAAACTCAGGGAGTTGTGCGCTGCTCGCACTGCTCGAGGCTGCAGCTTGAAAATCACAGCGACCGACCAGCACCATATCATTTTGTCAACATGGACAACCAGAAAGGCAGGTCGGGTGATGTCGGGTGTATTGCGTTGTACTTCGTCTCTGGTGAAAGCCTGTGATTTCCATGCACTCAAGTGCCTGTTTGAATAGGGGAGACTTTCCGTGCCCAAGCTTGTTTGTTCTGTCTCAGCCTGGCAGGTGTGTTCTGGCTGGACCGGCCCATGGGCATCATTCCTCCGGATTCTTTCATGGTGGTGACAGTCCTCTTTGGACCGATGTCTCCAATCAACTACCACAAAAAGGCCACACTCACCTGTGTAAGAGAGCTCTCCAATCAAAGCGCCCACTTCACGGATGGTACACCAATCCCATGAGACTGTCCTTGCAAGAATCAGTTTTCATGAATGTCCAATGCACTGATCGCTGATTCTGGCAGATTCTAGTCACAGATAGGTCTTGCATTTTTTTCTTGTGTAGCCTTGCAGGTTTCTTGTGTCATCAAGGGTGCTTCAGCACCATTGACCCTGGATTTGCTGGGGTCCGCGCCCTTTTTTTTGCTGAAGTGTGCAGTGACTCCAGCGACTGTCCAGAGCCAGAACCTCTGGGACCTGTGGGCCAAGGTCTGCACATAATGATAAGGTGCGGCCAGCCAGGCCGGCTGGGGCTGGATGTTGCTATCTTTGGATTTTCGGATTTTGACAAACGAAGTGGACGAAGCCTCAGTCAGAAAGTTAGAACGTGTTTCTTGTTTTTTTCCCAATGCTTGGTGTTTTTTTTGGAAATTTTGTGAGAGCTATCCCTCTTTGACCACCAAAAGAACCAATTGGTAAATGGATATCGGATGGGGGATCCGGAGCTTCCAGGTTGGAGCAGCATCACATCGACATCTTCCGGAACATGCAGCTCTCAGGGGCCGGTTCCCAAGAGTTAGCTTTTGGAGTTTGCTGCACAATTTGTTTTAGTTGGATGGGGACTTTTTTTTGGCGGTAACCTAAGGAGCAACACAGGTGTAGCAGATTTGATGTGCACGCAGACACTTCCCGCTTTATCCGTAGAAGCTTCTGATTTTCGGTACTATATATGAGTTTGTCTCAAGACATGGGGGACTGTGCCCAATTTATGGTTATCAATTTTTAAACCATGGGATGGAATTGGTTACAGTGGAAGCACCCGAATTTGAGACATGTTGCATCAGGTGCGGGAGCACCAGATCGTGGAAAGCACTCCAGAGGAGCTTTCAAGCTGTTTTTCTCGCTTGGAATCATATTTTGTTCTCCTGCAACCCCAACAAAGGTCACAATGTCACAAACGCTGATATAAGCACCTGTAAAAAATAAGTGTTGGTATGTCCTCGGGCATGGGTCGAATTATTGGGCTATTGTGGGTCAATGGTCCCAGCCATTTGGGTGTCCAGGGAAGACCGGACTGCCAGGGAACCTCCCTGGACGATGAGCTTCCACAAGAAGAGCTGGACCCACAAGTTCCAGAGGTGTCCAGCTGAGGAAATCTTTGGTGGTTCTCTCGTAAAGATACACATTTCCTCCAGCTTTCCATATGTTTTTCTTGAACCGAATTGGGGACTATTCTGCATGTTTGCATTGACGTAGTGGTTGTATGATGTGTATGTATAACATTCACAGCAGTTGATGTTGATGCATCAAGTTCTACAGCGATATTGATATCATTTGATATCGGGTTTCCCAAAATAGGGGTACCCCATTCATCCCCATTCCCCATATTTCACCAATGGGTCGCCACCATTCAGGTGCCGGTGAAACAGCTCTCGGCCACAGCTTCCTTTCTGGACCCGGGGGCACAGCAGTGCCGAAGGGTCTTGATTTGCAAAAGAACAAATAGGACATCCAGTATATACTGTGTGTATATACAGTATACACGCACAAATAATATTCAATGATACGATATATGTCTATATAGATATGTACTCATGAATGATATTTGCATACGAATATATTTGTGTAATGTTTGTAAGAGAGAGAAAATTGTTGCGGCAAATGCGGAACCTGCTACCGCTATGCTCCGGCAGGAACTGATGTTACCAACAGACTCGAAGCTGAGGGACCGAGCATTGAGACGTTGACAGAGACGTTGATCCCATCCCCCGAAACACCGAGACGGGACTCCGAAATGAGATCCAAGACTAAGCCAGGGTTTCTGAGGTTGTTCATTGTCAAGGGAACGGGAGTACTTTGCTTCATGTTCTGATGGGAATAGTATAGTTTTTTTTTTCTTGTGATCAAGTTGTCGTTGAGCAGGATATCACCATCAGCCCGGGAAATATGGATTTTGGTCAAAATTCCGTGCTCCAGAGTTTCCCTGCCGTAGTCGCATCATTCAATTCCTTGAAACACAGGAATTGATGCATGGTCATTTGGGCCCATCATTTCTGGCGCTTGCTCCTAACACGAATCATACGGAAATCCCACTCAAAACTCCAAAAAGGTAGAGGAAACCATATCCATTTCCATCTACGATTTGTTGGAGCTTTGCGGTCTATCATTTTGCCATTAGAAAAGACACTAGTGCTATGCATGGCTCACCCTTCATAGTGAGATCACCAGGTACTGTCCACCTCTGAGAAGCAGACGGTGACCATCACCAATCGCACTTCTCAAAAGGCCATCGGGCGGTGCCAGGGCAAGGGCAAATTGGTTCCTTCAAATTCAGAAACTCGGTGTGTTGTTGATTTCAGAACTTTGCAGGTGACGGTGATCTGGATGATGGCAGGGGAGACGTGGTAGCCTCAGCAGTCGCCATTCGCATCGTTTTGGCGAAAAACTGTGAGCCTCGCAGGCGGATTCCCTGCGTCCCCGATGAGAAGTCCCTCTTCTCGGCTCGAAGCTCATCCGACTCAACTGACTCAACCGACTCCGAGCAAGTCAAAACCGTGAAGCGCGGCTGTGAATTCCATGGGTTCCTGGCAAGGTCTACCCACCAACGTGTGACATCAGGCAGTGGACCTGGTATCAGCTGTGCCTTTGGTCTGTCCGATCTGTCTTTTAAAGTCTGATGGATTTGTTGGCAAATGCTTTGCTGAGGCCAAAGGGACAGATGGATTTTCAGGTGACTTTCAGACCTCAAAGCCACCTTGATGCAAGATAGTACTTGAAGCTGGTACTTGAAGCTTTGCCGGACCGCACGTGTGGAATTTGCCTTTGCAGTCGTTGTGTTTCAGAGTTGTCAGTTGAACCAACTGGTTTGCAAGTCATTTTCAGCAGATCTCTCAAAACTTTCGTGCGTCCAAGATGCTGGCACCGTGGAAGTTCGGGCCTTATTATTTTTGAAGCGTGAATGCAGCCACAGAACATGCTACATTTACATATATCTCAGAGTATGGATCAGGATTATCTACCTCATGAATTTTATGGGTCAATTTACAAGTGGTGCCCAATTTGTGGCCACCATGCTTGCCAGGGAGAATTGCTGGAAGTGGTTGTGGCGCAAAAGATCAACAGAACCTTTAGACTGGTGGATTTGCAGAGGTGGCAGATGATCAAATGCAGTGTGCGCAGTGGTCCATCAGCTGGCGGCTAGTTGCATTCATGAACCTGGCAGGTTCACGCCGCCATGGACAATCACGTTGAGAGGGTCCTTTCCTAAGTTCTTGTAGATCTTTGTTTCAAAGGACATTTCCTTGACATTTCCTTGCCTATAAGGATGGGTCACACCATGGCTGCAAGAACAGACACGCAAGTGGACATTTCAGAGCGGAGTCCTCAATGCTGAAGAGAGCGTATATACCTGTTTGAAGCCTCGTTAAAAGCACCCTTTTTCCAATTTCAATTGGCATAAACACCGGAAAACCCCATTTCTGGACAGAATGAATCTTGCTTCTGAGGACCAATGTGAGATTCAGATCATGTCCTCCGGGTGAAAGAACGTGCGCCGGACCTCACGTCTCGCTGCGAGATCTCTCCCAGTCAGCCAGCTTGGTCGCCAGGTATCAGGTGGTGATGATGACCAATCCTGGTGACATGCCCTTGAGCTACCAGATCCTTCCGGCCGTGGATGCCGCCAAAGTTGAAGATGGGGGAAGCTTGGACTTGGGCGATGAGGTGGGAAAACTGCAACATCAGATTTTGAGAAATGTGAACATCACATTTTCGGTATGTTTTGAAAATTATGTTCACAACATGGGCACATCACCTATTTTTGGACAAACCGAAGTGGAACATTTCAACAAAATACCGCACATTTTTTGAACGCATAGGCTGATTACGGCCGAAAGATGATGAGCATCTCATGATGTGTGCAGCAGGCACCCTTCCGTGCTTGGCCCACACAGGGCATTATTCTCCCGCACCAGTGACTGGCCCAGATCTCTATGATTTGATGATTCGATGTGGGGTTACAGCTGGGAAGCGACGAGGCGACTTCGTGACGAAGTCTCGCTGTCTAAGGTTCCACCTCATCGTTTTGGAGTTTGCGCCAACAGCCCGCAGCCCAGCGCAGCCCAGTTTGGATGTGATCTGGCGATCCCTTGAGGGACTTTGGCAGCCGTCAGCCATTGAGGTGGCCAGAAATGATGTGCCCTACGTGGCCAACTTCCAAGTGGTCAGAGTCGCAGTTTCCTGTGCCGCCCTGCAGCTGCTGGGTCAAGGTTTTCCTGTTGACAGCTGTGCGCACTAAGGTGGCTGACTATTTTGACAGCCAACCGAAGATGATCCGTGTTTCTGGCCGCGTTCCAGACTTAGCCTTCAAAGGGAGACGCCATTCTGAAGAAAGGTGGGAGAGTCTAGGTAACAGACTGTGACAACATCGTCAAAGTGGCATTTCGTTTGACAAAGTCGTTTCTTCCGCCGAAGAGATGTCATATATGCATATGTATACATATTATATATATAATGATATAATAATATATATATATATATACATAATATATACATAATATATATATATATATATATATATATGTGGCAGGGACCTTTTGGTATAATGCGACCGTCCTCCTTGTCTCCCCATATTGTATTGCTGTTCTTTCTCTGGCTGCTCTCTCTCTCTCTCTCTTTCTCTTTCTGTTTCTCTTTTTTTTGTCTCTCTCTCTCTCTCTCTTTCTTGCTGTTCTTTTCTCTGCGTGCATTTTTGGGCATACGATTCTCTTCGTCTCCCATCTGTGTCCCTACTTGTCTCCCTTGTTCTCTCCAATTTGTATCCTTAATTCCCTCACCATTGCTATTCTTATCATTTCTTCTCTTAGGCTGCTTTCTGTACTTGTCTCTTAATTGTTGTGCTCGTCTCTGTGCGCTTTGGGACGAAACCTATTGTCCATTACATTCCCTTATCCTCGGTCTCTGCTTCCTCTTGTCTTTCCTCTTCCCTTTCTTTCCTTACTTGTTCATCTATTCTTTCCCAGTGCTTTCTTCACCCTCATTACAGTTGTTACCTCTGGGTGCTGTTAGGACCCAAGATTCTCCTTGCCTCCCATGTGTTCCAATTTGTGTCCTTATTCAGCCAATTTTTCTCCCTTTTCTTACTCCATTTTACTTTCCTACTCATTCTACTCTCTCCGTTGCTGTTTCTGTCTAGGCTTTAGAACCTTCAGGTGCTTTGGGGCCATAAACATTACCGAGTCCATCATCCGGGTCACCAGCATTTTGGGACGGAGAGGAGAGTGTTTCTCCTCTTTCCTTTCTTTCCTTACTTGTTCCTCTAGTTTTTCCCAATGCTTTCTTCGCTTCTCTCCTCATTAATTACTGTTGTTCTCTCTGGGTGCTTTTGGACCCTGGACTCCTGATTCTTCTCGTCTCCCATTTGTGTCCGTGTTTGTTCCCCTTGTTCTCTCCAAGTTGTATCCTTCATTCCCTTCCCATTGCCATTCTTCTACCAGGCTGCTTTGGGAAGAATGGATTTCCTGGTCTTTGTTTCTCCCTACTTGCCTTCCTTTGTGGAAGTCTGTGTGATTTGGGACGAAACCATACGAAACCCATTATCCGTTACTCCGTTACATTCCCTTACCCTGGGTCCCTACCATATGTTACCCTACTTGCCTTTCTACTAGTCCCCAACTTGTCTCGGGATCATCTCTCCACTACCGTGCTTCTTTCCAGGTCTCCAGCATTTGGGACGGAGAAGAGAGCTTTTATCCTCTTTCCTTTCTTTCATTACTTGTCGCCCTAGTCTTTCCCATTGCCTTCTTCACTTCTCTCCTCACTACCGTTGTTCTCTTTAGGTGCTTTTGGGACCCAAGATTCTCCTTGTCTCCCACGTGTGTCTAGGCTTTAGGACCTCTAGGTGCTTTGGGGCAATAAACATTCCCGAGTCCTTCATTTGTGTTGCAGTCCTCCTCTCTCCCTTCCTTTTGTCCATCCCTGTTACTGTTCTTCTTCCTGGATGCTTCTGGGCACAGGATACTCTTCGTCTCTTCGTCTGCCATTTGTTTCCGTGTTCGTTCCCCGTGTTGTCTCAAACTTGTTTCCGTACTTCTCTATCTATTGCTATTCTTTTCTCTGGGTACGTTTGGGACGCAAAGTTCTCCTTGTTTTCCACCTGTTTCCGTGCTTGTCTCCCTTGTTGGCTCCTACTCCCTGCCTGAGTTCTCTTTCTCTGGGTGCTTGATGGCAGCGGATTCTTCTTGTCTGTCATTTGTTTCCATGCTTAGCTGCTTGTCTCCTTGTTTGTTCTACTACTCCCCCCCCCGCGCTCAGTGTTCTTCGTTTGGTTGCTTTGGGTACAGGACTCTCCTTGTGTCCCATCTGTTTCCGCGCCCGTCTCTCTGCTTGTTCCCAACTTGTTTTGACACTTCTCTCTTCATTGCTGTTGTTCTCTCTGGGTGCTTCCGGCGCACAGGATGCTCCTTGTCCCTTGTCTGTTTCCGTACTTGTCGTCCTTGTTGTCTCCATTTCGTGCCCTTCTTTCTTTCTTTCTTTCTGTCTTTCTTTCTTTCTTTTCTGTCTTTTTTTCTTTCTTTCTTTCTTTCTCTCTCTCTCTCTCTCTCTTGCTGTTCTTCTTTCTAGGTGCTTGTTGGGACCCCTGATTCTTCTCGTCTGCCATCTGTTTCCGTACGTGTCTTCCTTGTTCTCTCCAAGTCGTATACTTGTCTCCCTTGTTCTCTCCAAGTTGTATTCTTAATTCCCTCCCCATTGCTATTCTTCTCTCAGGCTGCTTTGGGAAGAATGTTTCTCCCTACTTGTCTTCCTTCGTATAAGTCTCCTTGCTTGTCTCTCAATTGCTGTGCTTGTCTCTGTGTGCTTTGGGACGAAACCTATTATCCGTTACATTCCCTTACCCTCGGTTACTACCACATGTTACCCTACTTGCCTTCCTACTTGTTTCCAACTTATCTCCTTATCATCTCTCCACTACCGTCCTTCTTTCCGGGTCTGCAGCATGTGGCACGGAGAGCAAGGTTTCTTTCCTCTTCCCTTTCTTTCCTTACTTGTTCATCTATTCTTTCCCAGTGCTTTCTTCACCCTCATTACAGTTGTTATCTCTGGGTGCTTTTGGGACCCAAGATTCTCCTTGCCTCCCATGTGTTCCAATTTGTGTCCTTATTCAGCCAATTTTTCTCCCTTTTCTTACTCCATTTTACTTTCCTACTCATTCTACTCTCTCCGTTGCTGTTTCTGTCTAGGCTTTAGAACCTTCAGGTGCTTTGGGGCCATAAACATTACCGAGTCCATCATTTATGTCCCTTCCGTCACCTTGTTGCAGTGCTCCTCTTTCCATTCCTTGTTGTCCCTCCCTGTTACTGTTATTCTTCCTGGGTGCTTCTGGGCACAGGATACTCTTCGTGGTGCTCGATGGCAAAGGATTCTTCTTGCCTCCCATTTGTTTCCATACTTGTCTCCTTGTCTGTTCCCAACTTGTTTCTTTATTTTTCTATCTCCATTGCGATTCTTCTCTCCGGGTGCTTTTGGTCAAAGGAATCTCCTCGTCTCCCGTTCCTCTCTCTCCATTGCTCAGTGTTCTTCGTTCTGGTGGCTTTGGGGACAGGACTCAAGTCTCATCTGTTTTCGTACTCGTCTCTCTACTTCACTCTCACATGTGGCTGTTCTCTCTGGGTGCTTCCGGGAGACAATATGCTCCTTGTCCTCTGTCTGTCTCCGTGCTTATCCCCCTTGTTCTCTCCAACTCGTGCCCTTACTTCTCTCTTTCTCTCTCTCTCTCTCTCTCGCTGTTCTTCTCTCTAGGTGCTTATTTGGACACATGATTCTCTTCGTCTCCCATCTGTTTGCGTACTTGTCTCCCTTGTTCTCTCCAAGTTGTATCCTTAATTGCCTCCCCCGTGCTATTCTTCTCATTTCTTCTCTTAGGCTGCTTTCTGTACTTGTCTCTTAATTGCTGTGCTTGTCTCTGCGTGCTTTGGGACGAAACCTATTATCCGTTACATTCCCTTACCCTCGGTCACTACCACATGTTACCCTACTTGACTTCCTACTTGTCCCCAACTTGTCTCCTTATCATCTCTCCACTACCGTGCTTCTTTCCGGGTCACCAGCATTTTGGGACGGAGAGGAGAGTGTTTCTCCTCTTTCCTTTCTTTCATTACTTGTTGCTCTAGTCTTTCCCATTGCCTTCTTCGCTTCTCTCCTCACTACCGTTGTTCTCTTTAGGTGCTTTTGGGACCCAAGATTCTCCTTGTCTCCCACGTGTGTCTAGGCTTTAGGACCTCTAGGTGCTTTGGGGCCATAAACATTCCCGAGTCCTTCATTTGTGTTGCAGTCCTCCTCTCTCCATTCCTTTTGTCCATCCCTGTTACTGTTCTTCTTCCTGGATGCTTCTGGGCACAGGATACTCTTCGTCTCTTCGTCTCCCATTTGTTTCCGTGTTCGTTCCCCTTGTTGTCTCAAACTTGTTTCCGTACTTCTCTATCTATTGCTATTCTTTTCTCTGGGTACGTTTGGGACGCAAAGTTCTCCTTGTTTTCCACCTGTTTCTGTGCTTGTCTCCCTTGTTGATCCATTGCTCAGTGTTCTTTGTTTTGGTTGCTTTGGGGAAACGACTCTCGTTGTGTCCCATCTGTTTCTGCGCCCGTCTCTCTGCTTGTTCTCAACTTGTTTTGACACTTCTTTCTTCGTTGCTGTTGTTCTCTCTGGGTGCTTCCGGCGCACAGGATGCTCATCGGATGCTCCTTGTCCATTGTCTGTTTCCGTACTTGTCGTCCTTGTTGTCTCCATTTCGTGCCCTTCTTTCTTTCTTTCTTTCTTTCTTTCTTTCTTTCTTTGTTTCTTTCTCTCTCTCTCTCTCTCTCTCTCTTGCTCTTCTTCTTTCTAGGTGCTTGTTGGGACCCCTGATTCTTCTCGTCTGCCATCTGTTTCCGTACGTGTCTTCCTTGTTCTCTCCAAGTTGTATACTTGTCTCCCTTGTTCTCTCCAAGTTGTATCCTTCATTCCCTCCCCATTGCTATTCTTCTCTCAGGCTGCTTTGGGCAGAATGCTTCTCCCTACTTGTCTTCCTTCGTATAAGTCTCCTTGCTTGTCTCTGTGTGCTTTGGGACGAAACCTATTATCCGTTACATTCCCTTACCCTCTCTCTACTACATGTTTCCCTCCAAGCGGTCTCCTTATCCTCTCTCCACTACCGTGCTTCTTTCTAGGTCTCCAGCATTTTGGGACGGAGAAGAGAGCTTTTCTCCTCTTCCCTTTCTTTCATTACTTGTTCCTCTAGTCTTTCCCAGTGCCTTCTTCCCTTCTCTCCTCATTACTGTTGTTCTTTTTGGGTGCTTTTGGGACACAGGACTTT